TTGTACTACCGACCTTAAAATGTACAAGGGTTAAATTACCTTCTATAATTAAAGGTTCTCGAACACAAGTCTTGTATTACAGTCGCATTCTCTAGGGTCATAAACTGTGCGTCTAGTCGGATGTAAAGGGTTCCTTAGGAGTAGGGTTACCATTATGTAAGTCTTGACAATACTGTATCGAACAGGCTTTACAAAGATCATTTAGTTTTTAGGCTGATACTGTGTTTCTAAAAATTGTAGGTACTCCATTATTACCATACCTATGGATGTCTGGCTGAAAAAATATTTTGTATTTTTCCCTCAAATGTGGAATGTATAATTGCGCTTTTGAGCCTAACCTAGAACTTCAAACGAGTCTAAAAGCGCCTTATAACTTCAGGAGTGTTTTGCCAACCCACGTATGATGATTTATTAAAATTTTAGTCATTTGTGCAACCCGTAACATTTAGGTTTTTCAATAAAAAAAAAGTTTTAATCCGGAATGTCCGTGAAAATCAGAATAGATGGCAGCCCTATCGAGCCAGCCATTATGTAGTTGAAGATACCATAGCTTAAGAGTTTGAGTTAAGACATAGCAGACCATTTGCAGTTTATGGGGTACTAGCGCGAGTAGTGACCTGAAACTTGGTGTTTACAGCGCCGCTTCTTGTAAATTATGTTTGTGACATTTTCCTCGTATGAAAAAGATGAACTGTATTCATCATCATCATCATTTCAGCCATAGGACGTCCACTGCTGAACATAGGCCTCCCCCAATGCTTTCCATGTTGATCGATTGGTAGCGGCCTGCGTCCAGCGCTTCCCTGCTACCTTTACGATGTCGTCGAACTGTATTAAATAGATGTAATGTGCATCTTCATCTTCCATAACGTGTGTTTTATAGCAATTGGGTTCATTACAATGTCATACTTTTTGATCCACTCATGTGTCTGTCATGACACCGAAGTACGGAATCCTTTAGTTCTTTCAGACAGATTGGTTCAAGCCAAATCAAGGCAGGAATAGGTACTAATAAATGGGAATTCAAACACAAGGGGTATGCTAGATTGAACTAGAATTCAAACGAGACTCCTTTAGGGCTATATTTCACCGGGATACCATGGCGGCCCAACCAGTCGCCGCTACCAACAAAATGTATACAGCTTTGCGCAACCAAACGGACACCAGGTGAGTAATTTTGGTTGCGCCGCCATGGTGTCCCGGTGAAATATAGCCCTTAAAGATCATAAATTAATCTAATTAACTAAACATGATGTAATTTTTCTATCAAAATTAAAACATAGAGGTCTATTACGCATATCTCACATCATGACGTATCGCAACGTATAGTGTAGGTAGGTTTCTACCTATTTCTCTAGTTGAAAATTACTTTGAATTGTTGCCTAATATAGGCTACCAAATTCGGAATGGAATGTAAATCTCGAACTGCGAAAGCAATTCAAATCTGCATACCGATGTCAATGAAAACATCAGGAACTTACTGAACTAAGCTAGTGTTGTAAACAGAAATTCCTAGGAAAATTCTTCAAGTTGAGAAATATTACCTGGTAACAGAACTATTCACTCCTCATCATTTCTACTGTAGCTACTACAGTGCTACACTTTCTTGTAATTAGGATTTCTTTTTTACCGCAACAAGGAAGCTCTTGGCTTGCATCTCACTTGATGGACAGTGATGATCATGCCGAAGGTGGAAGCGAGCTTCACCCGGAATCCTCAACCACATAGGAACTGACTATTCATACTTCTTAACTGCCGGAACATAACAATGCTGCTAAAATTGTGGTTATAGCGACATATTTTAGATCCGCTAGATAGGTGGACTTAGAACAAGCCGAACAAAAAAATTCACTGGGAATTGAACCCGCCACCTCTGGGTCTGAAGCAGGTGGTCTTACCACACCACAGAGGCGGTTACAACTCAACCAACGACAAAAAATCAACCACTGAAAGCCATGTTTTTTCGTAGTATCTTCCAATATTTTCACTCAAGTGAAATATTCCGGCAATATCACCTACTTGAACGAAGTTCTCAGGAACGGTGCATTTCTAGTTGTAATAATTAGAATTCATGAAGTGATACGAACTTTATCCGGGGTAATATAATAACTGTGACAGTGAACTTACCTGGCGTGGAGCCAGTAGCAGAGTTAGATTAAACTAAATACTTACGGCGGTTTTGATGGCTTCCAAATGTGTTGTTAGTTTTATTAATAGAATAACTTTTAAGAACGATCTAGCTTCTGTAGTAATTGTTTTAACAACTTATTGCTAATAGAAATTAATTTGTTGGATAAGTAGGTAAGAACCGTCTCTAGTAACGTGGTAAACCTGAAAAGCAACTTTAAAGTATAGTAAACGCCCTGAAATACGGTTAGGTATCGTGGAATTCAAAGTTGAATAGTTGATTCAATCTAAAAGGAGTTGTATTTAAAGATTATTGGGAGAACAAAGCCGAAGATATAGCAAAAACCTGCATTTCATAATAAGTAGATAGATATGAAAAATAAAATCAGCTGTCTGTGACGTGTGTTTTAAAATTTGGATATCATTTTCATCCAAAAATTTTACAAATTCTATCCACCATTTTCATGCCCTTGACAACTAACGATATTCCATTTCCATTTACAAAAATAATACGCTTTTAAAGCCATTACGCCAAAACGTAGCGCCTAAACGAAACGTGTCCGAAAGAACAAAACAATAAACTTGTTTTAATTGTTCCCAAATGCTGCGTTGTTTTTGATTTCGGACGAAACTTTTTTGGGAGCGATCAGTAAATATGATTAACGATTGTGTACGATTCGATTGTAATCGTTATTGGACGACGATTTGGTATTATTCTCTTGTATATTGCCTTGTTTATGTGAGATAGACTAAGTTTTGATAGTCTTTGGTTTCAACAATTACTTTTGGAAGAGCGTTATCGTTTTTTCTCTTTTTTATTTTGTCAGGGTGTTTCAAAGCGAGTTATAAAGTTTTAATTGCCTATAAGGTTTGTTTATTTTAAAAGGTGTCAAGCTTTTGCAAAGTGATAGGTGAGTACCTAAACATTTATCCATCGATTAAGCTCCCAGTCAACAACACTTTTTCGTTACAGTAAATCTCACATGAAGATGCCACAAAAATAAATAGAATATGTAGTGGTATTTCAATTACGTGGCTTAATTACTTAGTCAGGTACTATAAGAAACTACAAAGTCCTCCCACAAGGTAGACTGACAACATTGTTAAGGTAGCAAGAAGGCGCTGGACGCAGGCCGCTACCAACCGGTCAACAAGGAAAGCATTGGGGGAGGCCTATGTTCAGCAATAGACGTCCCGTGGCTGAGATGATGATGATGATAAGAAACTATAAAGTTATAATTTGTTTTGGGAACGTGAATTTGTTTTATGATACTCACCTATCACTACCGGTTTGTCACTTCAGAAGAAACAAATATTACGCATGGGGCTTAAGAAACAACAAAGATAAAAGCCCGTCTTACAACTATAAAAGCTACATGCGTTATTCTAACGTATTTCCCAAATAAGTCCTTTTTGTTACACAGGCGCTGCTATACAGACGGACGGCCAGATCAAAGGATCGCAAATTTAATTCATGGCCATTGTTTTCGTCCCCTATCGGTAGGCGTGGGAGATATCAAAAGATTTACAATCCAAATAATCCGTCTTTGGAACAAGTCGAATTTGTTCACGAAATGCTCGGAGAATAACGGTTGTTTTTGCAATTTAATTTTATTTATGTTTTAGTGATAGTTAATAGAGAAGTAGGATAATGGATCGTTGTAGATACTATTTTATGGTGAAACATTTATTTTTTTACTGCAGTAAAATAGTTTATTACACATCGTTCTTCGCTTTTATTTTGGTGCTACGTCTACAGGTGTGGAAATACAAATCACTTTTAACTTAAGTAGTGCCCTTTATTATCTTAATCAGGTCTTTTAGTCTTCACTGCGAGCACCATGCACCACTAAATTTTCCTTCACTACACTTTCCATACTGATTGTCAGGTTGGGATGCTATATTTTTCTGAGCACTTGCTGCGCTTGAGCAAATGCTGGTAGAGCGAATCTAAACAAATAAAGATCCGGTTTTGGTTTTGAAAGATTTGATTTATCACTCATGAGAGATAGAGAGGCGATATTTTAATTTCTTTTCCTCAAAAATCAATCTATGATGTGTTATTTTATAAAGTTATGAAAGGTTAAAGGTCAATAAGTATGTGACCCTGTACTCAAATCTACTCAAGATAACCTTAAACCGTGTAACAAAAGGCTTACTTCAACCACTTATTTGTAGTCCTTTTAACCACTTATATGTAGCCTAAGTTCTCTAATCCTGGTTTGTGTTTTCGGTCGGCTCACCGCACCGATCTCTATCTCATGGCTCTTGTTTTGAGATATCTGCAATAATATACGGTCTTGTTTATTAAGCTCTTGACCCGGCTAAATAGGGCGTACTTAGGCTGGGTTGCACCACCAAACTTTGACCGTAACTATAACGATAACCGGTGAATTTTGTATGGAGTTGGACAGATTTTTGACGTTTGTTAAAGTTAAAGTAAGATGGTGCAACCCAGCCTTAGTGATGGGAGATTGCGAACTACTCGAGTATTTATTGCCGGTACTTTTTGGGGTGTTTATTTAGTGGAAACGAAACAAATGGGGGAAGGAAGTGTAAACAAGGCTTATAAGAACATTTTCCTGATTTTTCCCATTTTGTAAATCATCCGGGCTAGGATGCGTGCCGTGATTTTTTTCTTTTTTTATTTTGATTATCTCTATGGCTTTAATAATTTATTTAGTTCTTATCTTAGTTTGTATAAAGCGAAATAATGTTGAGATCATCATGAAAGTTCAGTGTGTGCTTTAGTTCATTTTGTTGGCGCGGACTCTACTGCTACAAATTGTAAAAATAAATCCATCTGAACAAATCCATTCCATTCTCCCCATTACCCCAGAAACGTTGACACAGAAATCTCCCTATTGTTGCAGATCGGGTTCCCTCCGTGCGTGAACACCGGAGGGACATGGTCGTTAACACGTTCGAGTCTCGGACGTGCGGCGACGTGGGCGCATGACAGCTGACGCAAGATGGCGCGCGCGAGCTTGATGGTGGTGCTATGCGCTGCAATGTTTCCCGTGCACCGGGCAGATAACCTTGGTGAGTGTGTCATTTTTGGCGACTTTGGAAATATCGTCACCGTTTTTGTGATTTTATTTGTCTGACGGGATGATAAATTAGAGGGTTAAGACGTGTCTTGTCGTATACTAAGGCTGGGCTGCACCATCTTACTTTAACTTAGACAAACGTCAAACATCTGTCAAACTCCATACAAAAAACACCGGTTATCGTTAAAGTTACGGTCAAAGTTAGGTGGTGCAAGCAACTTAGACTAAATTATGAAAGATTCCGTTTCGATGCTTCACGACAAAACACTTCAGATAAATAAAATAAGTTTATCTGAAGTGTTTTGTTTTAATAAAGTAAGTTCTGCATCTTTAGCGTTAGATTAACAATGTGATGTAAATAAATCTGTTGAGCTGCATTGTCTACTACACTGTTATACCTACTTTCGGCCTGGTCATAAATTTTCAACAGATGAAATGCAGAGCAACATCTTCCCCGTACCGTTTAAAATAGTATAGGTGGAATTGTGTAAACTTTACTTTATTATATCATTTGACAGTTCATAACGTACGATTATTCTGTCAAACGCTTAGTTTAAAGGATTTTATCGTACGTTATGAACTGTCAAATAATTAAGATTGCTTTACACAATTCCACCTCAGATTAGATCTACCCATAAGGTTTGATCCCATTGTTATGTCAGCTACCTAACAAGGAATTGAGCTGAAACCTTGACATAATTCATTAATGGGTATTTGATTTGGTTTGACCAAAGATTGGGACCGAAGAACCAAGTAAATACGAGTCGTTACACTGCCTTAAATTTCAAAGGAGCCCGATCGGAACTAGGTAATTTACTTTTGTCCCAATTATTTGAGTTGCTCGTACGAGCAAAAGGACTTCTAGCTAAACCATTTGAGAATTTTTAAGTTACATCGACGGTTTCCCAAGTTTACGTTGGAACTAGGTCAGATGTTTGAATCAATAAAAAGTTTCTTCTCCTATTCGGTATGTTTGTATTATGGAAACTTTATATCAGGTCTTTTGTGATTGAAAAGGTATTTCTTACAGTGATTTTTTTGCAGCTTTTCAATTATAAAAACAGTGTCATAAATCCTATTCATCTCTCAAATAATGTGCAGACCATTTTCTTCTCAGAAATTAAGTATCTAAGATTGTGGTTTACGTAAGAAAATAGAAGAAGATATTAATAGACAATTTGTCGTCGTTTCAACCAAAGGACGTTCACTGCTAGAAAAAAGCTCCGTCGATGATTTCCACAATGACCGGTTATGTACTGCATACAAGTGTTTCCCGCGACCTTAACTGGATCGTCGCTCCACTGAGAGGCCTGCCCACACCGCGTCTTCTGGTCCATGGTTGCACTCGAGAACTTTTCTGCTTCAACGACCATCAGTTCTACGAGATACCTAAGTATGTACAATCTGTGAAAAAATCTTTACCTACATAAATACGAATAGCAAAACCAATTCATCGTTGTAACACTTCACCATTAAATATATAATTTTATGTCTACAAGCGTACATAAACAACTGTAACGTACCTACTTCCGAACGCGCGGGCGCCTAGTCATACGATTGTTATTCTATGTGCTGAAGCTTTAGTAACACAACCATAGACCAAGTAAAACAGCCAGTTCAATTTTATTAGCATACTTATCAAAATTTTCCGTATAAATAATATTCTCATTTTCGGGAAAAGATGATAGGTAACGATGTGTTTTTTATTTATGTCTTTGTTTGTTTGTGTATTCCTTAAAATTTTCCTCCACGACTGAATCCTTAGAAGGAGGAAGTAATCTTTATTCTGAGGAAATTCGGGTTTTAAGTCGTTTGCATTCAACAAACCCAACAGGAAACCAAGGTGTTTTTTTTTTACTAATTGAATCGAGTCTAATTCAAATAATAACTCAGAAAGTTTCTTGTTTTAACTACAAAAATGATCACTCCTTTAACAAGTATAACTTTGTGCATAGTCTGAAGTGTACATACATAATAAAGAGTAAGAAGATGCCTGCTTATAGTCCAGTAGAATTAGCTTTTAAATCGGAAATAATTAGCAACATTACTTTACCCGATGTGGGTAGATGTCATCATTTTATATGTACAAATGACATAAATGTTACACTTTAAAATAGTTTTATTATAATATTTTTGATGATTTTTTAGGTTCTTTCATTTGTTCCAAACGCACATACTTATATATATACTATAAGAAACGTCTATAAAATTTACCTTCACAGTTATTTTAATATCCTCACTGTGTAGATTTTTAAAATATTTGTTTAGATAATCTAAGGGCGTAAAGGACAAATTATTTAGACTTGGGTATGAAAATGTAAGGTTGTATAGGACAATAGATATACTACATGTACATTATACGCCCAAAAATTTGTGTTTACTTGTTCTTTACTACCATGGTAACTGTACTAAAAAATCAAATGGTATTTACATCCCAATTTTCACGATGAATTCTGTTTAGCTTATCAAATATGATGGGTCGTAAAGGCACTTTTTTTGGGAATTTCGACAAACTAAATATACAGATCGATAGAGAATTAAATTCTGAGTAAAACTGTATAAATAACTCATTTTCGGTATTTTGTCCTTTACGACCTTTGAGCCCAGAGGTATCGTTATGGTCTTCAACACTCAATTAGAACGATGACTTAAATAGTTGGGCTATTTCTAGAGAAAGGTTTTTTAATTTAAAAATAAACTTACTTCGGTCCGTTACTTTCATGGGCCGTCGTGCACTTCATCATCGTGGGTCACAAAAATGCTAAGTAAGGTGCTTGGACGAACAAACCACTGGACGCGTAACGAGTGACGTTTTCGTCTTTACCCCGCTAGCACTTACCAAGGCTTAATTAGCCATGGTAAATGTTGTCAGGTTGTCACTTTGCCAGTATGACGCGAGCTCTCGAAGAGTAAACANGAAGTCGGTTGAAAATAGAATCCTTTTGTTTTAAACACCAAAGAAAAGACACCTGACTATCCGTTTATTTAAATTCTAGCTACTTTCTCATTGTGACTGTATTGCGCTTATAAAAGTCATGCTGTTCTCCCTTTTCTGTGGTTCAATGCCGAATTTCATTCCAGACAATAATAAAAGAAGATATTTTGGGATAATATCGTGTAATTGCGGTACGATTACTTTAGTAGGGACTAGGGACACGTGGAGCCTTCATGTTTTATATTTTTCGTAAGTCTTCAAAAGAATTATTGTTATTTCTATTACTATTACTTGGTATTTTATTTTCGCCAAAAGTTATGATTGTCAGTTAAGACAACAGCTTTATTACAATTTCATGTAGGTACTTACTTATAGGATTGAATTTTATTTACTGTATATTTTTAATCTGCTCGTTGCAATTTTAAAAGTTTTACAGACTTGTTATTAGACAACACTTTGTTTTTGTTTTCATTTACTCCCATACTTATTCATAAAAAATACAAACGTCTGCTAAATCTATTTTAGTTAAAATATTATTAGTTTTTGTCTTGTTCTCAATGTTAAAGGGATAAAAGATGTTTTAACTAAAATAGTTTTAGCAAATGTTAGTACTTTTTATGAATATGAGATTTAGACTATAGGTATATTTTTATGCAAAATATGCATCATAGAGATACATAATAAAGCTCGTGCTAATTTGGGGCTACTTGATTAGTATGACAGTTGGATCAATTTATTAATACATAAATTACACTACCAATTATATTCGTAACAATATTATCTGGTCGTTGCAACAATAATCTAGTCAAATTGATTGGTGAGTGAACAATAGCGGTAATAATCATTTGCCGTAATTACAACGCAGTTACACTGATTGTTATTGCTATAACAGTGGTATTTGCAACATCCCATTTCAATTGTTGTTATGAATTATGACTAACATGTCGTGGTGGTTGAATATTGAGCTACCTCAGCACCCGACTTGCAATGTGAGATTTTCGGGAGCCTGAAAAGACTATTTTTTATTTATTTAAAAAGGTATCAATCAGCCTCTCTTAGTTTCATTCGGATTTAACCTTGAAAAACTCACAAAAAATTATTTTACTTTTATATTCATTTAGATATTTCAGTCTTATTACTATAGAAGTTTAAGATAGTTTAGTCTTATTACTGCAAACGTTGTGATGGGGAAAGAGATGAGATTTTTGGTTTTACGAATGTAGAGAATAATACAAAGCAATAAAAACCATCTGTTATGGGGGCATTTTTTGGAGTAATTTATCAAATACCCAAAAAACACGAATTTAAATGTAGAATTTTTTCAAAAGTATCATTTAATTTTATATTATTTGTTGGCATTTTCTGGGTATTTTATGTATTTTATTAGTATCGCCTGTTATTTTACTGTTTTTATTTTATCAGGATATACCTCTTAGTTTAAAAGTTATTACGTTTTCTTTAGAATAAGTAATTGAAAGAAAAAAAAACTATAAAAATAAAAAACTGATATTTTTTGACTTTTTTTTATCGATAAAAATATTATAATTTCATATGTACACTTTATCACTCACACTGTATATTTAGATTCCTCTGGAGTGATTTTTGATTTATTGTTTGAAAATTGGGGGATCCTGGTACACTAACAGAAGTAAAACATTTTATTAAACCTAAAAGCTTTTACCTTTATTAAACAGTCAAAAATCTGACACGAAAACTCCGAAAATCACGAATTCCATTAGCTACCTTCCCACTAGTGTTGATTAGTCCGAAAACGTCACAATTCGTTTCCCCAAAGAACCCCAACTACACAAATCTTTGGTTCCGTGACGTTTCTATTAACCGATGGTGAAACTTACCAAATTATACCACGGTAGAAGGAAAGACGTGACTGAGTGGATTCTACTAACACGTGCCCCGAGCACAATGGGTCATATCGCAGGAAGAAAAGCCTGTCCATTAGTGTAATGGTGGCGTTAAAAATACACAGTCATTGATTTTGGAACGGGTAAAGGTCGGGCCGGAAAACGTAGCATGGACAGGCCGCCTACTAGGTGGAC